ATACCATTGGAGTGACGACGGCCTCCACAAAATGTTTTCTGCCAATGAAATGATTAGCCTGTTGCAGTTGTATTCTATCAGTTGTCACTAATTACAACTATCATTTACCAAAAATCAGCTATCACTATTGACCACTACTAGCTATATCTACACTTATTTGAGGTATTTTTTGATCACATCCTGCTCACATCCTACCATTTTTTTGTATCTGGTCATCCACCCTGCACCTTCTCTTACCCCTGGACCTTGGCGAAGCTGTCTATTTCCCTGATTTAGAACGTTCCTGACGACTGGCAAGGCTGCATGTGGGAACACATCAGAAGTACTTCCTACAATCAACACGGATAACACTTGGACTTAGAATTTAATGCTGGAGCGTTTCTCATAATCTTATGTTAAGTCTTGGGGTATTGCAGGAGGCAGCACCTCTATCGCCTCCCCCGCCCCACACCAGGCTGCAATTTCACTAACTCACTTGAGCGCCAAAAACTTGGCACATCCTGTGTTGGGTTGAACTCCTAGGATTTCTGCAGTGCGTCAGCGACTTCGCCAAACTTTTCGACAATAAATAACACCGGTAGACAGAAATACAACAAATGAAGGACGAGTAGGAATTTGATTGGTTCTTTTAAACGCCATTGTGAGCGCAGGCGCCAGCCGCAACTCACTTTCTCTCGCTATTGGCCTCTAAGCGCACATCATGAAATCGGCAGAGCAAACAGCGAAATTATGATGTAACGAAATGAATTGTTTAAAACATCATTTTTTTTAACGGAGGACCGTATCAAAAATTCAGACGGTGAAAGAGATTCAGTCTCAGCAGGATTCAATCCTTGTTATCCTAACGCATAAAAGAACGCGGGCGGACAGTTTTCGGATGAAACGTGTTAAGATATGCTCTCTTGATATTAAAAACAAGCCCGTTGATCGCGGTTACTCCCTAGTCCACAGAATATAAAAGCCCTACTAACCAGAAGAGACACTACCTAGAACGCTATACGACGCATGCGTTTCTCGTGGCAAAACTACCTAATCTCTTTATATTTTTCTTTGCTACTCCTTTTTGTACTTTCGGTCCTTACGTGTATCTAATTTTGCCAACAAGTTGCTCTCTTTCAAAACTTATTAAAGCGCCAAAATGGATAAACATAATCAAACTAAATCTTTCCATTAGTGCAGAGTAGAGGAGTTTTATGATCGAGTACAATGTGTTGTTCGGTCTTCATTTTAAAATCCACCAACAAATTCTGTCTTTAAAAGACGAGGAATGGAAATACCGTTTTTTGTCACCCGGTGTAAAAATTTCTGTCATATGGCTGATCCCGACATTGCTTTTGAAGCTTACTATATTTACGTAAGAATTATAATCGGTCACTGTTTGAGATTAATACACAGTTGCCGAGAAGAAAATAAGAATCCGAGGTGAGGCAGTTCAATAAAATTGGAAGCATGGTGCACCGAAAGGTTGATCGCAACAACCGACTCCGTTTTCCTATCCATTTGTGCTCGCCATGAAACGCGACAGCAAATCTCGCCTGAGCGGCCACTGTGACCCACAGTTACTGTTAGTTACTTTAATTCTTTCTCAATTTTTACGGTAATCTCGCCCATAACTCGTTGTAAATGCTTTCAAGCTTCTACGAAAAATCATTTAGGAGCTGGAAGTTAAAAGGAAAATAGGGAAATCTAAAGGCCGTCAGTAAACAGCGAACTCGAAGTAGATCACCTGATCTCTGCAAGCCGATAAAACATTGCTTTTTGAGCAAGGGGAACATAATGCGGATGAAAAAAACATGCATCTCTGCGCTCGACCGTCACGCACAGTTATACAACACTCCACACAATCTGCCATCTGAGAAACAGTAAGTGCGGAGAGAATAGAAAAAAGACTGGACTCGGATAAAGAAAAATAGCGAGGTAATCAATCTAACGTCGCCGCACGCACCGAAATAACGGTCCTGCGAGGAACAGATTGACTCCGGCGCCCACCGCCAAACCGAATTCCCATTGCTTGTTGGCGGCTTGATGGTAGGGATAAGTGTAGCAGTTGCAGCAGCAACAGCAGCAGCGGCAGCAGCAGCAACAGCGGAGGGGCTGGGTTGAGCGACTGCTACCGCAACAGAAGACCCTACCTGCTGCAACGAATCGTCACTGATATGATCATCAAACTTCAACAAACAAGTCGAATAAAATCAGTTAGGAATGCACCATCATCACCACAACTGTTTACTATTGTGAGTAGTGAGAAACCACGTAAGATATTCACCAAAAAATCAGAATTAGCCGACAAAAAACACCCGTCGACCAAATGAGAAAAGCGCAATTTGGTCCTTGCAATGAGTCACGGCAATTCTATACAAAGATCACACTGACAGAATGATCCGTTAGTGAATGAGAGAACCGAGCAACAAACTGATACTGGAAGCAACTACGTTTAGGACCTCATCAGCTATGAAATAAGAAATCACGAAAGCGTCAAGTTAGCTACACTCAAAGTTAAACGAAGGCTCCCGGCTGAGCTGACACTACTTTTGTTGAGACAGAATGCACGGGAAGTGAAGAGGTGCATCTCAAAAGGAGTCAGCGCCAACTCAGACAAGAGTGAACACATTCAATTCTCTTCTAAGAAAAAGCGGCGCATAAAGCACGACATGAACAGCGTGAGCTTCGCAAATTTGTAATCTGTGCGAATGAGAACTAACGATTCCGCAGGTTACATGCAACTTGTCTTCGTCAACTTAACGAGTACAGTGAAATCAATTGAATTATTCCCTCAGAACAAATTCATACGAATTATATGAAAGAATAATACATCGATAATAGGAGACACAGGAGTGATCAAAAATATTTCCAAACGGGAATTCATTCATTACTCTTTGTTTTCACTTGCCCCGTTGCTTTAAGTTAAGTTGGCATGTTATGCCTCGCACTTTTGAATTCTTGAGTCATCAAGTTTCAAAAAAAATTAGGAGGGAGTTTCCACGCAATCCTTCCAAAGTACTTTGAATAGGAGAGGCAGTGAATCGTCCCTACAATAGTTTTGACTGCACTGCATACTAGTGGTGTTGATAACATTATAGTTAAAATTTCACAGGAAGAGTAGCAAATTCAAGAGGATCTCACTTTAGCAACTTGACACAGCGTTTCAGTAGATACTGCAGTGAGAAAGGGTGCCTGCAACGTGTGAGGAATCATAAGCGACACTGCTCATGAAAAAGTGATCCTGAGAGCTTTAATAACTACAGACCCTTCACTTTGCTGTTCAAATCTATAATACGTTTACAAGAACCCTAAAACACGCGGAGACCTTAGGATAGACCATAGGATTTGGTCCTGAGCCGAGAGCAGGCCGCTTTTCGGAGTACTTACTTCACTCGATCATTCACACCTCGTTCAGCTTACCTAAAAATGTAGTTCCAAATTTTCCTATGCATGACGTTTGTCGATTACAAAAAAGCTTTCGGTTCGGTCAAAACAAACGTGCTACTAGACGCGATGAGCCGATATGACATTAATTAGAGCTATGTCGATCTCTTAAAAAAGCTGAACAACGGTTGCACCACAGAAATAAAGATTCTTCAACGATCCATGCCAAATAAAAATCTGCAAGGGGTGTTCGACAAGTTGATACGATTTCGCCAAGAATGATTGCACCAATTTTGGGAGTTCTTTTAACAGTGCTCATGACTGGTTTGCGGTATTGAAATCGCTGGAGAACGGAAGATGCATTGCTCCTGCTGACGAACACGTTATTTTTCCACATGCTCTTGCTGGACATCAACTTGTGCAGCTACAGAAGGAGTCAAAAGAAGTCGAACTTAAATGGATTTGTCAGAACAATAGATGCCAACAGCTTTACTGAAGGCAATGGAAAAGAGCAGGTGAGTATAGCAGGCGCAGGAAAGCAGCTTGGAACAGCTTCAACAAAATCTCAAAGGTGCTATCATACGATAACCTCCATTAATTCTAGCGTCCTTGTTACTTCACAAAGATACCCGCGCTGCTGTAGGACGTAGAATAATGGCAGTCCACTGGAGCACACGAAGAAAAATCCGCTGTGACGCAAAGTCTGTGAAACGTTACTTTGCGAACACATGTTCCAAATGCAGAGCGGCGAAGACGTAGGCCTCGTTAATGTTGTCCAGCGTACACGAGCGTGAACGGCAATGGGTAGGTCATGTGGTGCGTTTAAAGGATGACAGAGGGACTTCCCGATTATGAAATAGATGTTGTGTGTCACAAACGGCCAACGAGAAGGCCTAAAATGAAATGGGCCGATCCGATGGTGAAAATGCTTGACCAACAATGGAGATGACGTGCATGGGACCGGAATGGATGGCTCAAAGTCGACCTGCGTGAATGGCGAAATTTGCGAGAACGAGTGCGATACAGGTGAAATAGCTCAGATCAGAAGGGTGTAAACACAATGGCATATTGGGAGGACGTTGCTCGGAAACAAAGATGGGACAAGGAGTAAAAATTATGCATAATAATTGTGATTAATTTGAACCCTCTCTCAATGGAACCTAGTGAGAAGACCGCATTTTTCTTTCTGGTAAAGCCAAATAACGCACTGGAAGAAAGGCAAAGTCAAAGTCAGGAAATTGATTTAGAAGGCAGTGCCAACAAAAACATTGGACCTTTAACCCTCTAGTAAACTGAAATTATGCATTTGCTATATGTCAGTTAACTTAGACTATTTCATTAATTTACGTAAATTGTTCAGAAACGAGATGTCGCCCACTTAAACGACGCTCTTAGTCTTGTCTGCTAGCATAAAAATAGTAATAATAAAATAATAACTGCTCATAAACATTTCCGGCACATCTACAGAATTGTTCTACCAAACCCAACCAGTGCTGGGAAGTGTCGATCTCAAATACTGTCTGAGCTATACACTGCATTTTTTTCGAAATTCCGAAGAAAAAACGTACTGTACTCGTTGAGTTCACAGACAGCAAACTAAGCACGTCACAAGATTAATACGCACAGCAAGTAAATCAATCGGAACTCACCAACTTCTCCCGCTTGGCACCTGGTTCTGACCCAGCAGAGCTCGCCGGCCTTTTCAAAGCTTGTTGCTGTAGTTGATGGTGTTGAGCCTGGAACTTTTTTATGAAGGTAAATGAACTGCGCACCCAAGAATTGTGTGCAATAACAAACCGCCTGTAATGTGAAGTTCTGGGAAAACGTGGGCGGTAAAGTTCTATTGTGCAGCTGGTAAATTTGTGTAGCAGCTGACAACACTGCCGTAGCCGCCTCAACTGAGTAACCTAAAAAACGTTCTTTTCTATATATAAAAAAAGCAACTAAACAAAACAAGGTTCAAGCAATGTCTCGAAATTATTAACAAAAAACCCCTCACAGTAGTTCTTCACCCTGCTTAGATTGATTTCATGCGTTGGTCGTCTAGCTGCAAATCGGAGGTTCAACAGAGAACGAGGACACACTCGACGAGCGATTCTGTACATCACCGACGGTCGCATCGTGAATGGGGCTTTCAGCTGCTGAAACATTCTTTTTACATGCAACACAATGGGAATTGTTTGTGTTGGTAAAACCATCATGCGTGAAACAAATTCGCCTTCACATCCCGACCTGCCACGAAATGGAATACAGCTTCAAGTTTTTTCTAGTGCTTAAATAAGCTTCACAGGAGTGCATTGAGCTGTTGAGAAAGAAATGCGGACAACACTTTCAATTAGAATAAACACCATTAGAAACTATACATATCTTTCAGATAGATGCGAGCCCAAGTATTTCCTAACTCTTAAAAAGAAGCCCGACGAAGCAATGCAGCTCATCGGCATGTTGGAAAGCGAGAGACATCGATGCTTCACCTGGTTAAGGGAAGCTCATCATGCATCACTTCTACACCGAATGGTCAGCATGATGTTTGTCCGCTTCCGCATTTCGGAACTGTTTATAAACGTTGTCGCAATCTAGGTGTCGAAAAGCTCGGTTCTCCTAGTCGTAACAAGACCCTCTGTCGATATTCTCATAACATTCCAAAAGCTGGTCATTTTTGATAGGTAGAGCGGAAACGGCATATCAAAACGGCCGTTTTACTGTTATTCAACAGCTCATACGATAATAACACGTTGCTACACGCAACTACTACAATGCCTAATAACCCTTTGTCTTTTTTGAACTGCCGTAGACCTCCTGCTTCTTTAGACATAGTCGAGATAATGTAGAATTGCAAAATCCCATTTTCCGTGCATGTCACTCGGATAGCTGTACCCTCGGTCCCCCTGTCATTCCCTGAACCCCCGTTGACTCTTGGATTTTTCGTTTTGCACTGATGTCGTCACTATTCGTTATGAGGGCGCTAACAAGCAGCGCGCCTCTTCGCTAAAGGCCTTCCCTCTGCTCATGACTCACAACTGTTTTGCTACTTTTGAACTTCAAATTCCGAGAAAAGCGTTCGTGAATCAAGCTGAAGCGCTTACGCGTCATGTAAATCTCGCCCCACAAATCGCTCGTGTTCCACACCGCGAGAAGCATGTAATCTGCATGCAAGAGTAATGTAAAGAGCATGTATCAAAAATCGTCGGAGAAGAATGGCATCTTCGGAAAGCGCATTGCTTCCCGAACTACCTAATATTTTCAATTTCAACTACGAACAAATGATTCATTTTTTGCAGCATAGAAGCTTGCTTACCTTCGTTTTAGTAGAGCTACCCGACGCAATACCAGAGGCCGAACGATGACAGACCAAGCAAAGAAAGAGAGGGTGGTTTAAGTGGGTAAACAGTGCATATTACACATGACCCGCATCCACTGAGTCTATTTCTGAAAATACAAATACATTATAAAAAAATTCATAGCTTTACCAAGTTGCAATAAGATATTTGATAAGATAAGGAAGTAGAAGTACGCACAATTACTGATTCAGCTACTAATGGGTGAGCAAAACATTCACTATTCAAGTAATACTGAATATGATTTTTATGACCGAATATGTACAGGAAAGGTGTAGTATTCGGCCGCAAAACTCGCAAGTCACATTCAAAAAGAGAAGAAAAAAAAAAAAGAAAGAAAAAAAAAAGAAAAAAAAAAAAAAAAAAAAAAAAAAAAAAAAAAAAAAAAAAAAAAAAAAAAAAAAAAAAAAAAAAAAAAAAAAAAAAAAAAAAAAAAAAAAAAAAAAAAAAAAAAAAACAAAAAATTGATGATTACTCCCCAAAATGAATTAGACAAAAAATGATAAATTCAAGAGGATAAAGAAGGTATACATAGCAAAAAAACAAATACTTTCAAAGATTGAATTTAAATTAATTCACCGCCAGCTTTTTGGGCACAATAAACGATACAATATCAACAAAATCGACAACTTTTGAAAAGAATTCTGACACTGCGCCAGCAGAAAAGACTATTTATGTAATCACAGCGAGAAATGAGAGTTCAAACATTACTACAAGTACTGTGGTTTACGCAGCTTACAGCATGACACATGCTGCATGGCTGTCCTCACGTTAGCTGAGCAGCATTCATATACAGAAACCGCATCTACTAAAAAACGAAAACTTCTACAATACAATGAAAAAAACGATCAGAAAAAAAAGAAATAAGAGGAATAGATATACAGTTGAAAAATAACGTAATTATGCCTTACACTGAACACTCACTGAGCCATTAATATTTCAACAGCGGAAAACGTTTCGATGTTGGGGCAGTGTGCATTATACATGTAGGGCATTCATCTCGTCAAGGACGTTTCCAAGTCAACAATTTCTCCCCAGGGTCGAACATCGCGTACTTACACACTTCAAGCCCGCCCTCAAAATTTCGCCAAAACTGCTGACGAGGAGGAGAGGAGAGAGAGAGGAATACGAAAAGAATAAGAAAAGGCAAGTGTCCTAATTCCCCTCATATTTCCACTAATCATAAGATCCAACAACGCCATCGAAAACCTACCAGAACATCGGTAAAATTACTCCCTTCCCACAATACGACTTTTTCTCCTTCCATCAAAGCCAGGTCCTTCGTCCGCACTTTGGAAAAGCTGGTCGATTTTCAACCTCAAACAAGAAACCCTCTCGAGAATATGGCAACATGCAGATATCGAACCCCGTGCTCTAAGTGTTCGAAATGACACGCGTGATGATTGGCTCCTACCCTGTCGACGATGAACTATATGAAGAATCCTCGGGTTTCTAACAACAAGTGGAAGCAATGAGGTCCTATATCCCCCTTCGAACCAATTACTATAGGTCTACGTGACTCTGCAATCTTATAACATGCCTTCGTACGCAATGTCGCAGCGCAGCGGAATATAGGAGAAGTAGGCGACACAGTAAGAGACAAAGGTGCTGAAGGATAATCAAGTAGAACGAACCTAAATGACATTGCGCACTTAACCACACGGCCACTATTGTATGTTGGAGAAACGGGGCGTTTCATCATTCTAGGGCAACGTACCAAACAGTTTGTGCGCGAATCTTTGAAGCTTAAAGTTTGGTTAAGACATTATTGGGTAGCTTAAGTTATGCTTATGTACTAGACATTGGCAACATGCCATAGCCAATATGATATAGGCCTAAGCTTAAGTCCCTAAGCTTTACCTGCGAGCGAATGAATGGGTTCTCAATTTCAGGTGACCTGACCCCAGGAGGAGAAACGCTACGCATCCCGTATGGTTCATAGGCCCGACGCACGGCTACCGCAGCGGCCTCGAGAAAACAGTGAAACTCCGATATATCCTTACTTAACGCTTGGGATAAAGCGGCCACATGAGGATTTCCAGCTACTCCTTTCTCTTCCTATTTCCTTTACTTTCTTTCTCACGAAAGTGACTGTATTTGAAGTGAGTGATGTGAAACAGTTGCCAAATCCGAATCAAAGAAAGGAAAGAAACATCGAATTTGATGGAAGTGAGGGAGGGAGGGGGAAGTAGTAGATGAGGGTCATTTGGTGTGTTGTCCGTACGAAAAATTCACCACGAAACATTTTTTCATGACTGGCGTATTATTCGTGGTACGCTGGTGTACATGAGCATGTTAGAAAAACCAACGAATAGAGACTTAAGTTCAGTATTGATAATATCTAACTACCAAAGATACCCTTGATCTCACCATGTTCATGACGTTCTTTCAATCCACCGTACTTCTTCCAGTATGTCCAACATTCATGACAGAGGCGCAGCTGTAAATTTGCAGGGCCCCAAGCATGCCATATATTGCTTTCAACAGCCTGAAATACCACCACAACACTGTTCCTCATTAAATGACTAATAAAAATAGTTGATCAAAGAATTACGAATGGAAGGTAGTTGTTCGACAACTGGGACTAAACTTATGCACTCACCTTGCAGCCTTCACAAGGATCCGTTCCTCGCACTGGAGGACCAGTCGTTTTAGCGTGATTAGGAATATAGACCTGAAAGATCTGAAAAATCATTGATCTCCACGGAAACTAAGGAATCAATACTCTCGAGTGAGAGAAGGGAAAGATGAACCAATACCTGCTTGAGTTTACTTTCGTGCTCAGCGTTTTTCTTCTTTTTTTGTTCAACATATCGATTTGTGGTTTTCCACATGTAATAGTACTCAACGATATCACGTGGTGATTTCCATGGCAGCTGAGGAAGAATAAATTCTTGATAAGTAGGAAGGAAAGTGGACACGAACACGAGCCGTACAATGAATGAGAGCTTTATTACAAGCTGTAAAAGAAGAAACTTACGAAGTCGACCCGTACATCTGAGAAGTCTTTCCCATACTTTTCAAGCGCATCTTCGAAAAGATTTGCTTCAGCCGCTGACCATTCCTCAATTTGATCTCTAAAAAGACAGCCATTTTTAACGAGGAATGGTTCCGATTTCGCTTCCGCGCACTAGGCCCACCTGCACAAAATTGGGCCTCCAAGGCTGACCGTATTATGTCCAGTTGCCTTATCCGCTTCTAATGGATAATAATTTTTGTTTGGTGGTGGTACGAGGTACTTTACCGCCTAAACATAAGACATGATAGCAAAGCAATTGAAGCAGTTATGACTATTGTAAAGGTGCCGAGGTACACGCACAAGGGGCAGTCGTCAACGTGTTAAAAAGAATGAACATGATACCAACTCACCTGACCAATATCATAACCAGCTTGATGAAGCAACGCCATCGCATGTAGAAGGGTAACGTCGCGCGAAGCAGCGGCTGCCGTCATGTGTAGAGACGGTAGTTTTGTCGACGAGGAAGTATCGAGAGCTCGTGAAAACGTTCCAACAGCTCTAAAAACTATAGAAATGCGCCGAGCGCTAATGAAGGAACTGCGATTAATTGAAGGCAAAAAAGCAGAGCAGAATGCGAAAATACGTCAATCAATTTTATTTAATATACCAGTTTGGCTGCGCACGCATTCGCGTGCATGAGACGGGGCTGCAGCGGTAAAATCGGGCCCATCAGTATTTTTGTCTTGATTTTAGCTTTCTGCTCGGTACATCTTACTTACGCCGCAAACTCCGCCCACATCCGGGTGTGCCACGCCCAGCGTTCACATTCAACCTCTACTCCTACTTTCACCTCTGGCATATTTTTTTCAGGTCTCTAAGTCATCTCGGAGCCGAATTATGAGGTCTTGTAAATGGCGTTATGAGTCACGAATTTCTGAGGCAGACCCCGCCCACTTTGGTGCATGGTTAGCCCAACAATGGCATTCAACCCTACTCCATACCTCAATACTTATGCACATTTTCCCCGGTCGCCGGAACTTCTAGGAACCGAGTTATGAGAGCGGTGGCAAACTCCGCCCACATCCGGGTGTGCCACGCCCAGCGTTCACATTCAACCTCTACTCCTACTTTCACCTCTGGCGTATTTTTTTCAGGTCTCTAAGTCATCTCGGAGCCGAATTATGAGGTCTTGTAGGGGACGAAATCGAGCTACGTATCTTTGTGGCAAACCCCGCCCACTTTGGTGCGTGGGTCGCCCACTGATATCAGTCGGCTATCATCTCTTCCCCAACCTTTTTCTACTTTTCTCCCATCTCTGGAACTTATTGGAACCGAGTTATGAAGTACCGTGGCAAACCCCGCCCACTTTGGTGCATGCTCCGCCCGCCAACAACGGTTGACCCCTTTCCCTCTGCCAACCCTTATACGCTTTTTTCCCGGACTCCGGGACTCCTAGGAACCGAGTTATAAGCCTAATTGCAAACTCCGCCCACTTTGATGTAAGCCACGCCCATCCCTGACATTTAGCTTCCCCTCCCCTCCTGACCTCTATCCGTTGTTTTCCGGTCTCTAAGTCATCTCGGAGCCGATTTATGAGCTCTTGTAGAAAATGCTGTCCGCTTCACGACACGCTCCGCCCATTGTGGGCGGGCCTCCGTTCACATCATGCGTGGTGGAAATACCTTAGGCATTGCTCCCCTGCACTAATTTCGTTTCTGGTCTGTAGGCTTCCTCTTAACCGAGTTATGAATATTTTCACTGAGCACCCATTTTCTAGAGAACGCCCCGCCCACCGAGGGTGGGTCTCCTCAGTTCAATCTGGCTTACCAACCCACACCTATGCCCACTTTTGTCCCGGTCTCGAGGCTGTTTTGTGACTGAATTTGAAATCATGGTCCTCAGTACCACTCATTTCGACGCACGCCACGCCCACTGTGGGCGGGGCTCCGCTTAGGTAATGTATGTTTTTTACTTCTCGAGATATGGTACACCCATCCCAAACTTGACCTGGACCCAGTAGGTTGTTGTCCGCTTAATACGGAATTTCGTGACAGACAGACAGACAGACAGACAGACAGACAGACTTAGCGTAGCGCGCATTATATAGTAGGGATAGTAGGGGATGTTCTTAACGAACCTAGCGACAATGAGGAACTGATCCATATCTCGATCCGTGAGGGAGTGATGGGGATGATAGACGAGTGTTTCCCGTTCCGTCTCTGATGGTGCACGATGTGACGCTCGAATTTCGCTACCACTACGCTCTTCTTCATCATCAATCATCAACTCATCTCTGAATATAATGGCTACAAAAAAGCAAAGAAATGTTGTAGATCGGAATATTGAGAGCAACAGACTTCACACTAACAATCCGTTTCTCTCAATTTTAGACATCACCACTTCTTTGCAATAATTATCCCCTACGAAACTAATCAATGCCATCTATGGATTTTATTCTGCTTTTGGTTTCCTCCATAAACCTCTGCTCACATTTTTAGCCCATGTGATGTATATGGCACATGAGCAATCCTTAAGTGAGCTGAGTTTCCTTTACGTACTTATTAACAAAGATTCAAAGCTGTCTGTAACCGTTTAGATGATGTCATCAAAATTTCTTCTATAAAAGTAACCTAGAAACCGTACCCATCTCCGTTCTCCTTTCCGTCGTCACAATCCATCGTTTCAGGCACTTGTGCTTGATATTTTTCACCCACACGGATAGCTCCTTTGTCAGCAAGCAGTGTCAGCTGACTCGGGTCGTACACCAGAGAGTAGAAGAACTTATCCTGAATACCAATGAAGTACAATAGCAATAATTACGCAGAATAAAGCCATTTGAGAAACGCACCTCGCCTTCGTAGCTAGAAACCGTTTCAATCTCACTAAGTAGAGTTACTTGACACTTCCCTCGAATTAATGTGGCAGGAAGAGTCTCTACCTGCCGCGAAAGGAAAAGTTCTCGCTGCCTGAATATTCAAATTCACCACAAATGCCACACCACAATTCCGAGAGAAAAGCAATATTACCTGATTCTATGACGACGAACCTCCTCTAGTTCTTCAACACCGAGGGGTAAGCCAGCCGATCCCCACTCGAAACGCTTGTCTGATTCTGCATCTTCCTTTACCTCACTTTTGTGATCTAGACCGATAACGTTAGAAAAGGTTCAAATCTCAGGAATTCTGCACACCCTACCATGCTCTGGATACTCAGATTGGTCTAGAGTACCTGTTACTTCAGGCTCCTCCAACTTCGCATCAGCTCCGTTCGCTACAGTGTGACCAGCTGAACCATACTTCTCCGGCTTTGGTTTATCTTCCTCATAATCTGAAACCTGGCCTTGATGAAACTTGTTTTATCAGCCAAAGTCTTAAGAAGTTAAGTGTGCAAATGAAATTGAGGAGTGGCAGGATTGCTATGCAGCTGCTAGATGCATGGCCGACCCGACGGTCCACACGAACCCACAGTATTTATGAAAAAAAAATTAAGAAGTTATCTCACATTCGTCGAATCTCCGTTCCGCTTGATCGGCAATTTTTAGAAGTGCGGAAGAAATGTCTCGACGGCGATAGTATAAGGTGACCCGTGCCTCGACCTGCCCCGTTGCAGTCTGGAATGTCCAGAATCTTCTTCAAATTAATTTAAACTAGTGAAATTTTATCAAAAAGTTTTTTTTTACAATATCAACACCATTATAGTATTGTTACTCATGTTAAACTACTGCAGCTCGACCGTTCACCGTCCTCTTTGCACAACAAAAAAGCTTTCACAATAAACCAACAATTCTTGAAAAAGAATCAGGTCTCTCGGGCTCACTTTGAGGTCAGAGGTCAGTGACCACAGACGAATTCAATTCATAAGTAGATCAGGTCAGATTTGAGCATGTTTACGAGAACGAGGGTCTCGCCAAGTTGATGTGAAGAGTAGGAAGTCTGCGGCTTAAACTTGAATACAGCTTAGTGGATGAATAGAAAAGAATTCCACACACATAATATGCCAGAAGCTTCAACGCAAATGTTTGTTTTTTTTGATTTGTTCCTCAACATTGGGTTGGGAAAAGAAGTGTCACCAATGAAAAGAGAACGATGTCACATTTTGTGCTTAATGGTAGAAGTTCCACCCGTGAGGTGGTGAGACTTCCATTGCAATTTTCGTAACAAGGATATCTCATGACATTGGAGCCAAACCTATCAAGGTGTTCAGGGTTGTAGCACACAACAAGACGTGAATCAGGCAAGAGCTACTATTGAAGATGGTCAGTGTTTCGAAAAGAGACCAGACTTCCCTCTTCGCGGAAGGAAATTGAGGCAAACAGTGAAATGTGCATTTTGCGTATGTGACAAGAAGTTACAAGCTGCAGATATTAGAAGCCGCAAAGAAGAGTTTTGGAAGAATGCACTGTAGCGCACCTGATCATGTTGCAAGCCCTCTGTCACGACTTATTGTGGGACTTGCTGATTAGCGTTTACACAACGTGTGATTGGTGCAAGAAATGATGCTTTACCACAATAAAATAACTCCTGACAACGCGTTCGATTGACAAAATTATCGGAAAAAAGCTCAGACACACCAAGATTACAGATAAAAGGCGCCCGATATTTGAGACTACAGCTGGAAGCATTGGGCTCCCATAAAAATGAAAATCCTAACTTTTGTTTACCTTATTTAAATCTTCTATTCGACGTATTTGATATGGAGTGTTTTCGGGCGTCTCAAAATAGACGTAATCTGAAAAAAGGCCTATTAGTTGAGCAAAAGCTAAACAGTAAAGAGAATCGTCACTCACCGCCCACTTTGTACATATTCTGAGTGTGTGACATGGTTACATGAGAGAAGCTTAACCCCACACACCTGAAATGAATACATTTACAAGAAACTTGGCTCACTCACTACATCGAAGTGGTGGTCGAGTAGAATGACATGGTCCGAGTTAAAAAAAAACAATAAACATGCTCAACTATAAACAGCAAACGGCATACAAGACAGCAAAGCAGTTGCCAGTTGTTTATTTTCATCAGAACTACTGTCTACACACAACGAACGACACGAACTTCTCATTTTTTTGGAGGAAATTTAGTTAGGGAGGGGCAGGAGAATGGAAGGGGGAATATCACAGCGGAGTAATTTGTTCTGCAGAGGTGATTCAGCCTTTTAGCAGAAGTTAGGGGGTCAACGTAGCATCCTGCTTGTGCAAGGAGGCAAATAAGCGAGAACGAACATAAAAATGATTACCAGAGTTCTGATTGCCTAGTGTGCCCCGTGCCTCCGTGCCCCCCAACAACACTTGCGTACATTTTTCGAAGAGTTTTTGGCTCAAGCGCAGCTGGGAAGGAGGGGTGCCGAGGCCTTGGCGGAACATCCTTCAGGGCGCACGCATAGTCGGTCGTCCGACAGCAACGATCGCAACTGTCTGACTGTCTAACTGCATCTAATCGTCGAATACTCAGGCAAGTCCGACGATCGATACGCATCCAATGCTGTGCGACAGTTACGATCGTTGCTGTCGTCCGACCGACTATGCGTGCGCCCATACACTTTCATTCCCATACTCATGTAGTTCCTTTGTTACATGAGAAAACGAATTCACCCATCCCGTAGCCATATCCCATACTTCTCTAAGGGGTAAGACGGGTCCCTTTGGTTTTCTGTACTCTCAAGCAGGACTGCTCTTAGGAAGGGCCTAGTTGCATTAGCGTGCATGAAAAAGTCACATGTGCTGAAAGTAGAGGAAGTTTATCGTTGTACACGAATAAATTTGAGGGAATTTTTTCATTTAGCCTGAGGGAAAGATGGGATACAGTCCCTGCCCATACCAAAAAAAGGAAATACTGTTGGTGTATCGAACTGCTGCTTCGCGATGGAACCCCCACTGCACTTGCGCCGATTTTGTAATCAAAAAGTGTAAAATCCAAAAAAATGCTTCTCCTGATCAGGGAGCAATTCCGAGCGAATCGTTCAGGTTGCACTACCATTTAAATAATCAAGCAGAAAGAAAAATCTGAAGACTATTCATGCTGTTAAAAGAGACAAGGTAGCGCTCTATGTTTACATGCTAACTATTTCCCTCGCCGAAGCTTCAGTCGATGGTCTTATGGTTAACAAGGGAATATGCCAGAAACTCTGCTCCTCGACCCAAACCAGCCTAGCATCATAAAATCTTTCTTGAAGCTTGACGAAATGAAATGTTCACACATCCTATAAAGTCAAATCAATCATCAAATATAAGTCAATCTGTAATGAAGTCATAGGAATCAAATGGTTGCGGAAAGCAATGCACGGAAGAGAGGCGCGGATATGAGTCTCACTATGAGGAAATATTCAACCTTTGGTAACTCTTCATTCCAGACTAAAGTTGTCACTTATGACCCGGAAGGCTAAGCACACGGGTAAGAAAGTTATAAGCATTATTCAAAAAAGTAAAAACAGCAAGAAAGAAGAACCGACGGCTTAGTCAACATTCGAAGCAACAAATTAATGCTTTTCATTTAGTTATAGAGTCCGATTGTAAGTTTTAAAAACTCATCGTACAAGGAAGACGCCGAAAACCTCGTAAAATGGTGCGCGTCGCGTACGGAGCAATTAACATATCGAGTTGTATGAAGTTGGTAATGGCGCATAAGCTTGAAAGCGATTTTGCATTGGAGCGCGGAATCTTTCCAGAGCAACGATTACAGCGTTCAAAGACGCATTCATAGTCGGTTGTCCGATCGTAAAGATCGTAACGATCGCACAGCATTGGATGCGTATCGATCGTCAACGTGTCCGCGGACTGGACGATCGATACGTATCTAACGCTGTGCGATCGTTACGATCAGACGACCGGTTATGCATGCGCCCTCACGTGTGGAACATGGAAGCCTCTGGGAACCGTCTGGGAATAATCATAGAAATTAGTAGAGGCATTAAAGAAAGAAGAACAACCAAACATCGTCGCTAAAATCGTCGCAAACTTAACTGGACTATTTTGGTGGGTGCTTTTTAGATAATTTTCACTGCTTACAGCAGGTTCAGCTAAAGACAGCACATGGGGATAGCTCCAAAGGAAGGTTAATTTGGGGTAATTATTGAGAACACATGTTCATACCAGACAGTGTGAGTGCGAAGCTTGAATCTGTACCGGGAATTCTGTATTTTTAAGGTGTTACTAATGCAGAGAAAAGCGAATGCTATTAGGAAAGGAATTGCTGACACATTGTACATCTTCACCATGAGCGAGGAATGTGGTTTTTTAACAGACTATAAGAAAAATAGAAAAAATGGGGATTTGAGGGAAACGGCAATGTTCACGGCGCCCCACCCCCCAGGAGCACAGCTAGCAGCGAAACAAGGGTCGTTCCAGCTCCTATACGTGGGCCGGATATCGTAATGGCGGGAGTCGGGGACGGCGCGGAGTCACTTTGCGTCACGGGTGGCCACAAAAAAGGGAGCTTCCGTATGTGGCTAGGGGAGGGAGTGAATTCTGGGATCGGGTAGCAACGAATTTCTGCTAAAACTTGTATTGTCGACAACACGGTAAAACCTATGGTTTATGCAATAACTTTGTCGGATGTTGTAGTGGAAGAGCCTAGAAAACGTTTCGTAATGTTAGCAGTGGTGACAGTGGGTGCTTTTCGATTGCAGAAAAGGCGGGGTCATCCGTAAGGGGAGATTCAAGTGGCTGTCTCACCTTCACCCCTTCGCCGTAGGGGGGTGGGGACTGCTACTACCCCTGGCGCACAGGTTTCTCGAAGTACGGGACTCCGTGAGCCAGGGGGAGTGAAGCCAGTTCAGAGGGGTGGGGGTGAGGGCAGTTATTAGACGTTGCATCACAATGCCCCCCCCCCCTTACCGGATGAGCGCAGTGCGGGACATATGGGAAAATAGGGTGTGCAGATGATTCCTGGTGGGGAAGCTCCTTCTGAAGTTGCGGATAGGATTACCCGCCGAAAGGGTGTTTTCATGATAATTAAAAAAAAAAGGATAAAGCATTTGCCGTTGATCAATCCCTTTTGGGATGCGGCACGCATTCTACTTCCATTTGTACATTCGTAGTGGCGTTTGAATGCGATGTGGCCTATACAATGACTTGCGGGGGCCAGCCGATGTACAAGTCAGTGTTTTTATCCTCCCAGACAAGTCTGGTACCAATTCCGACCCCGGAGGGATGGAAGGCTTGGTTGGCCCGGGCGACTCACGACCCAGGATTTGATCCCCGGACCGCTCGCGTGGTAAGCGTGCCACTTGCCACTACACCACTTCCGTCCATTTTTCATGATACGAGTCAAATTACATTAGATGAGAAGAGGTAAGCACGAAGGACCCGAGGGTCAAATATTTCGCTATGCAATTGTGCTGAACGTCGATCAGGAAACATTTAGCAGCATACAGTGTTAAAAGTTTACAATTTCCGAAAATGAATACTCTATGGGCAAGGTCAAGCAAGGCATCATTTGGCCTTAGCGATCTGAAAAAACCAGTATCAAGAAAGGTGTCAACGATTGTCATTACACCAGATTGATCCCTCGTCAACCGCCGGAAATCCCCTCCTCTGCGCAAGTTTACGCCGTCTACTGAAGGCCCTTCCTTCCCTTGTGACTCCAACATCTCGTGAAGGTGACTCGAATGCACAAAAAGATGTTTTATGTAGTAGAGGGCATTACCGCAATCACGACATGACGTTACAGTAGGATTTCAATTCTTATTTGTACCTTACAATTAGATCCGCGTGGGATTGGTTTTCCTCCTCCTCTCCCATCCTCCCCACCCCTCCTTCCACTGCCCTCCAGCTGCCACTGCAGCACCATGTGGAATGAACCGGAAGTGTGCTAAGCAGGTGTTTATATAGCCCGTGGGAGTGTTATCACAACTATCCTGCTACAAAACATTGATATCTCAAATCCTGCGAGCTACCCGATTTGTTAGCGGTTTGTTTATCCCATGAGCTTCCTTACTCACTTCATTTTGCGGACGGACAGACAGACAAACATACATACACAAACAAACCGACATACCAAGGTTGTGATTTTCATAATGAAGTGATTGATTTGTTTGGCGCGACTTGCCAACTGAGTTTTTAGTAATCTCGCGCAAGCAAGACAAGGTTGGTTGAAATTTCCGTTCAGAGTCACCATCTCTTCTCGAAGATTATGCCGATCAACTACTCATTAGATTCAATGCATGACTTTGATAAAAGAGTGAGTGAAGCTTTCAGAGAGAATTAATCCCTTTTTACGGGACACATTGAACCATATTCAAACTGTTGCCGCATTTAAAATGCGTTTAGCCCTACAAGACGGTCTATGAGATCAGCCGATGTACATGCCATGTCAATTCCTATGTTGCTACAAGTAGCAACGGGGGGTCGTATTTTGTGAGTTTGTAGAGGGGGGGTCGTACTTGCTTCGGTTGTAAGAAGTTGGCATGTGATGAGTGGGGAGC